CCGACTTTTGTTTCCCTTCCCCCCCTACCCCACAAGGCTGTGCAACAGTTCCTGAAGGGGACCGCAGTCAGCCAGATCTAGGGAAGTACAGAGGGGACCTGTAGATCCTTCCCATTCCCGAGTCATGGGGTGGGAGGATGGGGGTGGGAGGGCCGAAGAAGCGGCAAGAGATCACGTGGCCTGTTCCCAACCCCCGTCCCCCAGCAATGAGACCTTTTCTGCTCACGCACGTAACGAGCTTGTCCTCCCCCCGTTTCACCACCTCGGTGTGACACTGCACCTGGTTTTCAAGCCAGGCTTTGGGCTGCGCTGCTTGCAACAGGACAGGTCTAATGAGTCTCCATAGAGGCCCAGATCTTGCCTTCTAGCCAGTGTCCTCGTGGCACTCAGCACTGCAGAATGGGAGCGCACACCCGTACATGGCACATGAGCAGGGAACACGACGCCATTGTGCTCTGGTGCACACGGAGATTATGCGTGGGCACCAGCAAGGTCAAGCACTAGGCGCACCCTCCTCACCGAGATGCAGAGTCTCATGCTTCTTCTGCAGCTGCTTCCTTGCTTGTAAGTGCATGGAGTAGCAAAAGGAGAGGACAGTTTGGGCAGAGAAGGGACGTGTCCAAGGAGGCATGGGCTCAGGCAAGCTCATTAGGTGCTTAGTTCTGGCCTCCCTCTTTTGGTCACCTGCCTAGGAAACTTCATTATGAGGGTGTGAGAGTGTGCCAGGCTCAGGTGCAGAGCTATTCTGTGGACTCACCCTAGCAACCAGACCAAGTGGGTCTCATTAGCTCCAACTCAGGAGGATAAAAGGCAGACTCACGAGGGAGGATTTCTCCCCAGAGGAACGCCGCTCCTTAAGACATCCCAGGAGGAAGCATAAAGTTGATGGCCTCGATCCTGCAATTGGATGCATGTCAGCAGACCTTGTACCCACAGAGACGGACTTGGGTCCTGATTCTGCCATCGGGTAAGCACAGCCCTGCCTTAAAGGGTTAATTAAATTAAGAACAGGAAAGTGGCATGTCTGGGCAAAAACCAATGTGTCTACATGAGCTGCAGCAGGATCAGGGTAGGGAACTCACCTATGTCCACAGGGCTCCACAGATTGGGATTAAACGTATATGTAAACATAAAGCTATTTGGTGCAGGGACCACGTTCTTCTTGTATTTGTGCAGCCCCTGTTATTGACTGGGGCACTGCTAGAAAATAGTAATGAAGACTTGTTTTTTTTCCCCTGTTTAAACATTTTTTATATGTTGAATGCAGTTAAATGCTTTCCCCATTTCCTCTTTTAAAAAGATGCTAATCATTAGCCCTGTCCTAAGGACTTTGGGGGCATTTGTACTGTTCTAGGGAAAACTCAATTCAAAATCCTCAATTTTTGGCATGTGCGTGTGTGTGAATTGCACACAAATGCCCCCCCTCCCTTTTTTTTTTTTTGAGGACACAGATAGGGTTAGAAGTTGTCCTCTGTGTCACACTGGGGCAGAACACAAACAGAGGACACAGTCCCCAGGAACAATCAATCATGAGCCATACATCGCCCCACTGACAGCATAACAATAGGCTCTGTTGTTCTTTTGCACAACATTGCCAGAAATACAGCATGTGCAAATACATCAATAAAACAAACTGGATCCCCGGTGTGCCTGCAAATTCGCACCCCTCTCGCCTTCCTTTTGAAGAGCAGCATTGCCAAGCGGTTGCATCAAATTAACACAGGTCCAAGCGAGGGTGCCACCTGTGCAGTATTGCAAGTGTCCCTCATTTTGTGCCCAACGTCCAACAGCCTAGATCCAAGGAGCTACTAAGGAACACGAGAGCAGATGAGATGTTTGCAAGCAATAATAAATTCTAAGGCCCCTCCTCTTGGTATTCCAGGGCCCCAAAGGACCAGACTCTGATATAAAGGGATGGTTTTGAACCGTCACCAAGACACGATGAGATTCTGCCCCTTAAAAATAAGCATGATCCCATACTTTTCACACACTTATCCTTCAGATCCCTGGAATGCTGGTAGGCACCCTAGTGTATACAGCAGCTCAAATTCTCACCGCCCTGTTATGGAGGCAAAACACACGAATAGTGGCCACAAAAGTCCATGTGCCGGTATTCTGGCAGAGCTAGAGCGCGGCACAAGGGGCCTATCGGAAAAGGACATTTCCTGTGGAATTGCAACCCCCCATCCCCATTTCCTAGGAGCTTGTTGCACGGCTAACCTCCCAGCGAAGCAAATCCGGCGCTGTAACAGCCCATTGATTTCTTCAGCTCAGCACAGCTAGAAGCCAGACGACACAGCAGAGAGCAGCAGGAGGGAAGATCAAGTGTGCTTGGGAAGGTGGCACTCAAAAGGAAACACCAGTTCTGCCCTGCAGATGCCACGGATTAGCACAGTTCCTTACTGACAGACGTAAATATGTCGGGACAGGAAGAGTCAACGTTGACTCCCGGAGGAAGGGGAGCTCAGCATCCCCATCTCACGATTTCCCTCCTCACCCGCAGGGAGGGAGAACAGAAGGAGAAAGCACACAGCTCCCGCTCCCCGAGCCAGCCAGCAACAGAAGCCAAAAGACTGAAGTACATGTTGCGTCTGTCATGGCCTCCTGCTGCCAAACAGCAGATCCCAGCACATAGACACGTCCTCTGCAGCAAGACCCAGCGAGCTCCCACCACGTGCATAAGCCTCTACTACAACCTGGCCTAAAACATCATTGAAAAATGCCTCTTCTCTTGTGTACCTTTCCCCAAAGCGCATCCGCCATCAGCAGGCCACCAGGACCCAATCCACAGAGTATCTATAATTCTCCTTGACCGAGCTGCTTCTTTCTGCTCCCAAGATATCACACACACACACACACACACACACACACACAAACACAGCGCCTGCTGATCAGCAGCATTAATCAGCTCTTAGACTTGCCTAGAGCCAATGTGGGGTGCAACAGATAGTGCGTCTCGCTTGTGCGAGTCGGCTCTAGCTCCCAGCTCTCCCGATAAGATTTTATGAATTAGACATAACGACGTGCATTGAATCCTCCTGTCTAGACATCGGCAAGGCAGTGACAGGCTGCCAGGGAGTATGTGTAGCTTTGGGGGTGGAACGCACACAATCGCCAGCTCTGTAGCATGCAGAGATTGTGGGGGCTGCAGGTGGGGCCTAGGGATTGGCACACTGGCTGTTTGGCCCAGGTCAGTATTCTTGTTTTAACCACCTTCATCGGGGCTTCGGGAGTCTGCTCTGGTGGGTGGGGAGGTTTGGTGCCTTTTTTTATTTAAAGCGTTTCCTCCCATGTGCCTGCATTTTTTAAAAGAAGTGCTAATTTAGGGCTGGACCAGGCCCTAGGGCACCCCCTTAAGGGGGATGGTGGGAGTGCCAGACAAGAGCTTTAGCAGCATCTGCACCTGGGCTATGGAACTCTTGCTCCTGCGAGAGATAAGGGGCTACAGGCCTCACCGTGTTATGAACTAAATGCAAAAGCCGAGTCTTTGGCTTGATTTCCCCACCCCTCCCCAGTACGTTCTTCACACAAACTCCTCCAAATCCAGTTCTTTCACCTCCAGAGAGGCAGTGTAAATACACTGGGGAGGCGCTCAGCTCCTGCGGCAAGGGGAGTCAGATGTACCCAACAGACGGGGTGCCTCCAGGCCTGGATCTTCCCAACCCTGTGCAGAAGTGAGGTGGGAGGAGGAGATCCTTCCTCTGCTCTAGCCCTAAGCAAGCTAAGGACTGAGATCCAGTAACCAGTTACCATGGCCACTCCTTATTAGAGCGGGGACGAAGACCTCACAGGAGGCAACATGATCCCATGTACCCATCTCAGGGAAGTATCAATTCCACGGAGGAAGACATCACTCTCCTCCCCCAGGTGTGGTGCTGCCAGCTGTTCTGCTCCACAGGCCACTTACTCCTCAGCAGTATTCCAATATCTCAAGGAGAGGATATGTCCATTGAGGATGGGTAGGAAAACCTTGTGTGTACGTTGTCACTACAAACGAAAGCCACAATGCTGTGGCCTCAAGCACTGGACTAGAACTCAAAAGACTTGGCTTTTATTCCTGGCTCGGCCACTGGCCTGCTGGGTGACCTTGGCTGGGCAAGTCACTGTACCACTCTGTGCCTCAGTTTCCCCATCTGTAAAATGGGGATAATGATACTGCTCTCTTTTGTGAAGTGCTGGGTATTATTATTACAACCATGTCCACATGGAATCCTGAGGCTCATACAGGAATCCGCCTGCATGGATGCGGTTGCAAGGTTAGGGCTAATCCTGTAACAGTGGACTCTTGGGGCCAGATTTTCCGAAGGGCTCAGCCAACAGGGAGCCCATTGGGTGCTGAGGTCTTTTGAAGACCTGGCTCATCATGTTCAACATCAAACCAACCCATTAAAGGCCCAGACACTAAACTAAGCCTTTTCTCTCTACCTCTTTATGAAATGTCAATGTACAGTACCGAACACACAGGCTGTCAAATAACAGGACATGCTGATGAATGTACAAAAACAGAGGGTCAAGTTCTGCTTTCCCCGGCACTGGAAGGGCTAGAGTGGGAGCACTTTTACCCCACCCTGTGCACTTGCCTGGAGGCAGCAGGAGTCCATCAATTGGAAGGCCCAGGGGAGCACTAGGGTAGGCAGAGGGCCTGCTCGGCTGCTTTCAGTGGTCCTGTCTTTCCTTCACTTCTGTCCAAGTGATGCAGTGTGGTGCTGGCTCTAGGATTATGCTGTCCTTGCATAATAACATTAAGGACAGTAGCCTCACTACAGCCAAACTGAGACTCATGCACAGTCCTCACCTGCCTCTGCTGGGACTCTCTTTCATACGAGCCAGAGGAAGTTTTACCTTTAGTTGAAAATATTCGTTTTTTGTATTACAGCCGCCCCAGATGCCCCATCGCCCCGGGTGCTGTACAAACACAGGCAGTCCCAACCCCAAACGAAACAGACAAGACAAATGACAGGTGGGAGGAGAAAGAGGGCCAGGGAACTGAAGGGACTCACCCAAGGTCACACGGCAGCTCAGCAAGGAATAGAACCCAGATCTTCCGACTCCCAGCTTCACTCCCAGCTCCCCAAGGTGGAGGACAAAATTAAGTGGGGACAATGGACAGCCATGGGTTCCTTCGGAGCGTCACAGTCTGGGATACCAAGCTAGGCCTTTAAAAAGAGAGAGATGCTAGAATGGTCTTTACCCGAGCTGTTGTGATGACAAAAAGATATATTATTTACGCAGGAGGCTGTGTGACAGAGCTACCTATCCCAGAAATCCTTTGCAGGTCACGGATCACTCACCAGCCAGGATATAAGGAGTTTTTACACTTTCCTGGGCATGGTAGAAATATTCATGAACCATTTTCAGCAAGACAAAAAAATCCCCAAAGCTGCTCCACCAGTTCAGAGCCTCAGCACCCTCCTCCACGGAATTACGCCCCCTTTGAACGAATGTAGCAATGGGTGTTTGTAGTAAGGGCTGGTGCAGAGAGGAGCCCTTGCAGCCCCCCCAGCAGCCAAAAGTGATGCAGAGCATGATGGGCCATTAGTATTCCTGTGCTCTCAAAGTAATACCAGCTCCAGTAGGACCCATGGACTACAAACATAGATCCCTGAACAGAGGGTGCAGGCACCACTTCTGTCCACTCCAACTGACTTCCCCGGCCAGTTCCTGACCAGGAGTAAGTCATACCCACTTTGCTGTCACCTGGCTTCATGGTTTGGTCAGAAATCGCGACAGGAATATCATCTTAGAATCTGCTTTCAGTGACAGAGACAGAGCCTGGTGTCACCAATACTTGGACAAAGCAGCCCAAAAGTATTTCACAGCCTCTCCATCTTACTTCATATGCATGAAGGAGGGCAATTCATGGGCGCCTACATGCAAGAACCTTTAGAGAGGAGCAGCAATTGTCCCATCACTCCCTTCCAGGACATCACAAACCCATTCTGCCCACCCTTACTAGACTACACAGGCGAGTCAACACCTTGCAGACATCAAGGGTGGAAGTGGTGGATAGATCATATCAAATCAACGTGGACGTTTTTGCTGTGTCCATGGCTAGAAGGGAATGTCACCCACCAATATTCATTGTCTCCATTCCATAGCCAGATGGGCAGAGATCACGGGCAACCCACAAAATCCAAGCAGAGCAATTCAGCCACAACTGTGTCTTTCCCTGGCAGCAATGATTGATGCCCAGAGATGGTTTCTTGGGGAAGGATCTATCCGCCACTCAAGGGCAGCTGGCAGATTATTTCTCATCGGAGAGGCATGAATGATCAAAGTGGGCCCAGAGTTTCTGCACTGGCCTTAACCTGCCAGAAAGGACACAGGTCTATTTTGCAAGTGGCTGACCGCCATACTGTCCATCAACCCCACACCTTGGTGAGCAAGGCCATCCAGCAGCTATTGTGCATTTCTTCCCTCCAGTGCCCCTAAGAACAGCCTGGGTTCCACCGACCTTATCTGAAAGCCGACAGCTCCTCGGAGCGAGGATGCTCTACTCGGTTACCGAGCTGAGGCAGTCTGGATGAATCAGACTGCCCGTTACTTGGGACTGGTTCCGCCAGTCTAGATGTCACAGCGGCTACAGTGGCAGCGGGAGATTCTCTCCTCCACTTCAAAGGCAGCCACAGCAGGGGAATAGGAAAATCCTCTTTGGTGCAACTGATCGGGCTTGGAGGGTCTCCCCCCAGCAGTACTCCTACCTTTGCTGTTTCAACTGCTTGGCACAGTGGGGAATATCAAGACTAACATGATCGCAGTTTTCATCTCTCACATTGTAGAGTTAATAGGAATGGAATTGTAAGAACACCTAGAAAGTTGAAAACTTCCCCTCTGCGCCCCCAAATCTCATGAGGCTTCAGCTCAGAGTATTTTTTTAATGAGTTATATAAAAATGATGAAAAACAAGTCCTATTTAGGACTGAGATGCTTAACTATAGCAGCACAGAGAAAGGCACTGCGATACTGACAGACAGCAATCCGAGCCTGCTAAAGCAGACCAGCTATTTCAAACCCAGGACTTTTTAAAATAACTTGCCTGGATCAGCTATACACAGGGGAATAAAATGGATTTTAAACCCCAACATGTAAATGTTAGGGTCCTGTTGGTAGTAAGTAAGAGACACAAAGGCAGGTTTAATCAGAACTTAAATTTCAATGTGTCCTTACAACATTTCACTGGACGAATGGCATCATGTTACCTTAGGGCACTCCATATGTAATCCCAACCCTCTATCAACTTGCAAACAAATTCACTAGCTTTATAGTGCGGAAGTTACATATTTTTGCCATATCAGTCCTAGTGTAAAAAACGATCCTTTAAGAGGGACATCACACACACAGCAAATTCACTAGAGACTCTCCCGCTAGCCAGGAGAAAGTGCCTGGTTCATCAGAAGCTATATATGGCCCTAATTTCTGCAGTGCTATGGGAAGGAGCGCTTCCCACTTACACAATTCAGCAAAAAAAAACAAAAAAACCCAAATCCCACTTGGCACACAGCTCATTTTTGCAACCAGAATTGATGACAGTAGTAAGACAGGGCACAACTTCTCAAGGAGAAATTGTGACTGCATGCCCCCTTTAAAAAAAAATGTTCTTGTTACTAACAGAATATGAGGGGCAGAAATGCATGGTAGGGAAAGGGGACGCTTTGGATTATTTTTTCTTTACATTCCCCTTTCCCACCTTCATAGACTCTCCTTGCTCGGTCATACTTACAGATATAGGTGCAGGGAGATGGCTCATAACTAATCTCTAGCGCCCGGGTCTCCTAGGAAGA